ACTATAACATTTCTAATAAATAGGCTAAAATTGAATCAAAATTTACCACAGTGCCCAAGCTTTACACCTATATTCTCACACACAGGTCTGCTCCAGGCTTCTACAGGGATATGATCGAAAATTAAAATATCGAAGGTAAATAGATGAATTCAAAGATGTATGTCCAAACTTCGTATTGAAGTCATTGAAGTATAAGGACATGAGTGTCATTCTGTATTGTATCTACAATAAAGACGAATATGAATGACAATATACAGTTTCACACTGAATGATTTACTATCATATTTTAAAAAGACGAGAACTACGAATAAGATTGGAGAAGGAGATTAACTACACATCTCTGAATTCATCTACTTATCTTTGTAATTTTAATTTTTGATTATTTACCTGAGGATTCTAGGGTCAAACTTTCATGCGAAACGCTGGGATTATTTTATTATAGACATACTGTTATTTACATGAATACAAACTGTATATTCGATTCACTGGGTTATTTTTTGTCCGTGTATTTACCAAAGTAAGCACACAGCTTCTATGACAGGCTTTTTATCTTTCTAACCATTCTGTTTAAAAGGTTTGGAGGATATAAGTATCATACCACCTTAGGAGTAAGCAATCCCTTATGTCTTACATTATAAACCAATAGATTTTTATTTCACTCGAGCATATTTCTCCACCTCTCCATACTGTTTATACCTTTGATAATTATATTTCATTTCATCAACTAACTATCTCTGTCTTCCATCATAGTAAGAAAGAAATGAAAGCATACAGTGTAGTACGCGAATACTTGCTGATGATGAAAATAATTCATGGCTTTGAGGTTATTTGTTTTATTCATGATAAAACATAATACTTACTGATTGGAAGGAGATAAAAATTGTACTTGTGCCTAAGTCATCTTCTGGATCAGATGTTACTTTTCAACCCATGGCTATAACTTCCCTTTTCTGAAGACAATGGAAAAATTACTTCTTGTGATTGAGTCTTCACTGGTGGTTTTCAGAGATCCAAAACAGTTTATTTACAAACACCGGAGGAGTACCATAGATGCTGTTACTGTCTTGCATCATAATATTGTTTCTAGTTTCGACGAAGGTGTTAAGTATGTTCGTTGTGCCTTCTTCGATTATTCATCAGCCTTTGACTCTGTTGCTAGGCCACTCCTGGTAAATAAGCTTACCACAGCTGATACTGAGCCATGGGTTACAAAGTGGCTGTATTCTTATTTTTCTGAAAGGAAACAGTATACTGTCTATAAACGTGGGCGCTCCACTTCATTGTTTACGGAAGCTGGTATGCGTGAAGATGGTGTACTGTCTCGTTTTCTGTTCTCCTTCCTTTTGCACGATTTACCTCATTCTGTTGAAACTAATTTGATTAAGTATGCTGATGACCTGACGGTGTCTATTCCAGTTAACTCTTGCTTAGATTGATCTGAATTAAATGGTTCCTTGTCTCTTATTGATTAATGGTCTCGAGTTAAACCCCTCTAAATGTCGTACTGTTAATAATAATTAGCGTCAGGCGTAGACAAGACTTGTGTGAGCTGCCTGAATCTCATGACGCCTGTTGCACTGATGGTATTTCTGCAGAAAGCATATCGAGAGTAAACTATGGTGAGTTGGTTGAGTTATTTTGCTTCAGACCTTTGTTGTTCGTCTCGTATCTTGTTGACTTGTAAGAGAATCTTTTGTGTTTAAGATATTACATAAAGAAAGTGAGGCTGTGTTGGGATAAGTCAACTTGTTCTTTTACAATTTATTAATTCCTGCAATTTACCTATCCTTCTCCATTGTTCCTCATTGATCTTTCCTGGTCTGCTTGCTACTACTCAGAAAGGACTATGTTATGTAGTGTAGGACATTGAAAGTTGTGATTAGTGTGAGTGGTGTGTCTGTGGGGTAAGTGATTAACACTGTAGTTGATAGACATTTGAATTGCAGCATGGTAGTAGCTACGTAAATTTTGAGTGAGACTGAGCATGCACTTCGTTCACAGGTGTGTGCATATATCTGGTCAGGGAGGATAAGGAGAAAACTAAGTGTAATAATTCTACTGTACCTTATCGATGAGGCATACTTTGTGAGGGAAAAGGTGTTAGAAGAGAACTCACACATTGACTTTGTAAGAGTGCGAAATTTCATTACAATAATTTAAGTAACAATGTAAAGTGTTCTCGTTTTTAATATTCTTTACTTTACTTAAATTTTTAGAATAACATAAGTCGAAATATTGTAAAGGAGTATGTGTCTACTTATATTTTGTTGTTGCTTTACTATATCATGCTGAGAATTCCAAACTGTACTGAATAGAACTGTACAAGTTATCGACACCAACAGTCAATAACTTGTACGGGTTCTGTTCTCTGAAGAAGCAATTTCCACGTAGTTGCGAAGCATCGGAAATTGATTTTCCCACCTTATTTTGATTTTGCAAATATATTGCATTTATAATCCATTCACCCGGTGCTGAGAAGTCGCATTCTCAGACGAAACAACTGTCCAGTGCTCCAGGTTCCAAATGTTCCTCGAAATGGTGTCAGTCGTGACTGGGATGTGAACCTGGTGGACGCGATGGCAAATGACATTGAGTGGTGGTTGCGCTTTATCGTGAACTGACAGAAGTTGAAAATATAGACCATTGGACTCCGACTCAGTGACTCAACAGTAACGTGTTAGCTATGAAACCTGAGGGTTTTAGTTTCATTCCGTGACTGGGCGTGGTCTTGGTTGCTCACTTCTGAGGAGTCCCATACTAGAGGAAACAATTGTTCAGTGCTTCTAGATTTCCAGTATTTCTACCACTAATATCAGTCCATGATGAATATGAACTTCAAATCAATGAATGCACACAAATCCCTAATTGAACCCAATTTTCGTTTATCGAATTACCACCGAATATATGCAACAAGAATTTTTCAGCACCTATTCCAAATATACCGAAAATCCTAACACCTGTGTAAAAAAAGGAAAAAGAATTAGGAGTATATTGAACATGCCTGCAACTTGTGAAATGACCTTGACGTGACCATAGACTTGTAACTGTGTACGAAACAATATAATAAATATTTTGTTTTGAGTGAGTGATATGTTTTTTAAATTACACATGAAAAGAATGTCATAATAATAATAATGATAATAATAATAATAATAATCGCTTTATTCCAAACTGCATATATGACATGGAATTTTCAGCGTTCACTAGCCTGAAACCAGTGTGGAAATCTTCTGCACTCAGCATGTGGAACAAGATCCGGATTTTCAACACCAACGTCAAGTCAGTGCTCTTGTATGGTTCAGAGACTTGGCGCGTTAAGAAAAGCATTTCCAACAAACTACAGACATTCACCAACAACTGCCTACGCTGGCTCGTTACTGGAGATCAGATAGATGGCCAGAAAGAATAAGCAACAAGGAGCTCTGGGAACGAACCAACCAAGAAGCTATCACTCAACAAATATGCAGGAGGAAGTGGAGATGGATTGGGCATGCACTGAAAAGGCCGACTGGCGACATCACGCATCAGGCCAGTTGCTCGAGTGGAATCCCCATGGGAAGCGACGAGTTGGACATCCGAGGGTGACATAGAGGAGATCGTGTGAGGAGGAAATGAGAGGTTGTGGGCTGTCGTGGAGCGAGGTTCAAAAGATCTCAGAGAACAGAGGTCACTGGAGACGTGCTACTGAAGCCCTATGTTCCACTAGGAACCCAAGGGACTAATGATAATAATAATTCAATAATAAACCTCCCTGTACAATATTTTTAAAATAAATAATTTTCACATTTGGATAGGGCTAATAATAACGAAATTAAAGGCATTGATTTGAAATGAGTAGCAAGTGTAATGTGAATTGTTCGTCCGATTTGTGGGATGATTATAAAGTCATCTTGGTAGTAGTTTAATCAATCAGGAGAAAAATTGTATTTTGAAGCACCCATATGCTCATTTCTATCAAGCGTAACGTTTTTCCTTAGTTTTGTTCTTAGCTTGAAAAACGATGAGTTTAAAAACATTTCATAACAGTGCTAAAGTATGTGATACATTTAAAAGATTATCTGATAGATTAAAACAAACAGAAAGAGAAGAATTTAATGTAATATTGTCCTTGAAAAATGTTTTGTTAGCCTATGATAGAAGCAGACCGTCTTAGTATTTCTATCAATACTGGTTATATGAAGAGAGTATAGCTAATTCATTCTTTTGTTTTTTATGAAGGAGATACGTTTGATTAACCAAAAGGTTCTTTATAATTGATAATTGGGAATCAATAAATAACTTCACGAAAGTCGACTGAACTTTGAGCTTAATTTGATTTCTTATACCAATGAGGTGTACAATTGTCAACCATATCCAGTTCATACTCATCAATAAGATATATTGTTATTGTTTGTCCCTTGGGTTCCTGGTGGAACATAGGGATTCACTAGCACGTCTCCAATGCACTCTGTTCTCTGCAAACTTTTGAACCTGTTTCCACCACTGCCCACAACCTCTCATTTCTTCCTCACATAATCTCCTCCATGTTAGCCTCAGCTCAGACGCCCAACTCGTTTCCCATCTGGGTTCCAATCGACGGTCTGACGCTTGATGTCCCTTAGTGTATGCCTAACCCATCTCCACTTCCCCATTCTGCATATCTGTTGAGCGATAGGTTCTTGCTTCGTTGGTTTGTTGCCAGTCAGAGTGAGATTCTTGTTGCTTATTCTTTCTGGCCATCTATCTGAGCTTCAGTAATGAGCCAGTGTAGGTGGCAGTTGTTGATGAATATCTGTAGTTTGTTGCAAATGCTTTTCTTAAGGCACCAAGTCTCTGAACCATATGTTTGTTGAGTTCAAAAAGTAATCAGTTATCCACGTTTCACTTGCCATTGAATTATAACTGAGAATAATAGCGAACATAGATAATTAAGTGAGATAATTTTTCTTAAAAGTCTTCATCAGCTGTTAGTTCATGACTTTATTGATGTCTCCATCCAATTATTTCAATATATATTTCAGGTTTATTATGCTCCTTTTTTTGGTATTTAATTGCATTTGAGAGGACAACGTTTATGGGCATACATCAACCAAAACGTCTACTTAAATTTATGCTTATTCTATCTTTCATTGCTGCTATCGGTTTAACTATGGTTGGCAATTTTCAAGTAAGTGTTTATGAATGAGGATTGTTTCTGTTTACTCAAATAATAAAACGCAACCATTTAAAAAAGAATATTCTATGACCTTTGATTAAATATCAACAGTCAAATATGAATAAAAGTTGTTAAGGTATGAAGTAACGCAGATGAGATTCCATGTTTTAATACAATCAGTGTATATTATTTAGAAGTTAAATAAACAGGCTGATTTAGAAAAAGAATATCCAGGTTGTAAAGAGTAGTGATAACAAATCTATCAGAAGGCAAACTAAGTTTCTCTAGGATGAAATAATTGGAACATCTAAGAGCTATATTGGATTTAGATTTTTTAAAAAAAGGGTAAAAAGCAGTCGAGATAATCACTTACTCAAAGAAAATGGATTCAAAGCCCATTGTCAAACAATATCTACCAATAATGAAATCAACAAGTCAATTTTTATTGAAATTCTTTGTTATAACGATGCATAGAATACAATAAAGTAGAATATTGAAGTATACTTTGTGTGAAGTAAACTGTGCAGCACATTGATACGATTCATTATAGTTAACAAACTGTAGCAAATAGAAAGGGGTCAGCAGTGATTAAACCGTTGGGGTAATATCATAAACTTCTTAAGAAAAGCAAAGAGAATATCATAAATCGGTTGAGTTACATGTGAGATGTTAAAGTACTTTATTTAAGCAAAAATTTAAAATCATTATAATGTCTAGTCCTTTAGCTCTTTAAACTGAAAAGGTAGTATTATTGTGTTATTACTTGTCCCTATGGTTCACAGTGGAACATAGGGCTTCAGTAGCACGTCGCCATTTCACTCTCTTCTCTGCAGTCTTTTCAACCTAGCTCCATGACTGCCCAAAAGCTTACATTTCTTCCTCATATCATCTCCTCCATATCACCCTGAGCTCAGACGCCCAACTCGTGGTTTCCCAAATGGGTTCCACTCGAAAGCCAGGCCTAGTTTGTGATGTGCACAAATAGTCTTCTCTGTGTATCATCCAATCCAATCTACCTCGACTTTCTTCTTCTGCATATTTGTTGGGCGATAGGTTCTTGCTTCGTTGGTTGGTTGCCAGACATAGAGATTTCCTTGTTGCCTATTGTTTCTAGCCACTTGATCTGATCTTGAGTATGGAGTGAGGGTAGGTGGCAGATGTTGATGTACATGTGTAGTTTGTTGGAAATGCTTTTTGGTGACGCTTTAAGTCTCTGAAACATCACATAGAAAAACTGATATGAGTGATGTTAGTGTTGAAATTTGGGATGTTGTTCGTGCTTTATATTGAGTGCAGTGGAGTGCATTGAAGTAGATCTGCACCCTGATTATTTCAGATTGATGAAGTGTGTCCTGTCTTGCTGTCTTTCCGATCCTGGCTTTGACATTGTTATCTGTGCTGCCACCTGTAGTTGAGACGATGCTGAGTGCCTAGGTGAGTGGGTGATGGAGAGACAACTTCGTTTATATTTGTCGCATTGATGGTGCTTGTTGTTGTTGTTGTTGTTGTATGGGTATCTTCATCACCTGTATCTATTGTACGTTCATATGAAGAAAGTCTCGTCGTCGTTGCTTCACCTTGCCTCTTCTGTCAACTTGTTAGTTTTCATAAATTGATTGATTGTGGCTAGTAGAAGAATCGAGGATGCGCACTTCATCCTATTTTGGACTCGTCAGCTGTATGTACCTGCACCCCAGTGATGTTGTTCCCATTGGGACTCGAACCGCGTGCCTACCGCTTCTAACATCAAGGCGTTATCCACTATACGATGGAGTGACGATGGCCACTTCAGGCAATATCAAGGTATACGCATAAGAGCCTATATGCCAATAGAAGTCGGACACTTCGATTCAAGAAGACAATGGAGAATAACAAATATGTCAATCAATAGTACTTGTTAGTTTTCGCCTGTAGGATTTCGAGTTTATGTGACAAGACATTAGACATAAATCATGATCATTGGCGAAATGCAAATCTTCTAGTGTTTTTCATCTGTCCATCCAGGGGGTATGCTCGTCTTCACACTCCTCACAGTTTGTTGCATTTTGCAGTCGAGTCCAGTCGAGTCGAGTTGACCACAATCGGGAAGATGATCGATGATAGTAGGTGGTAACCTTTTCTTACTCCCGTCTTCACTCCTTCTCTTAGTCTGCATTGTTTGTACATGCGAAGCATTGTGTGATTGTGACTTTTCTTCCTTTTGAGTTGAATTTTGCTGTCATGATCGTCATCTTGGAGGAGATTGATTCCCACTGCATGAGAGCCTTTGATACTCTTAGGGACAACATGATCGCCACTCGAAAACTCAGTGTGATTCTGGTTGTCGTGTTTGTGACAATATCGGAGTAGATTATTGACTCTCCTCTCCAGTTGACAGTTCCGAGAGTCCACTTCCATTCCATCTGCTTTCGCAGATTCTTAGCACTTCTATGCGATACCTTCTCTTCGGTGATTTGGGCAGCCTTGCTAGGTTCAAACATTGTTCGGACATTCCATGTCCCCATGTTTACTTTCGCTTTCATCGAGAGAAGAGAAGACGCATTGGCCAGTTGGCTTCCCGAATGTTTTCACTAACTGGCGTTATTTCGTCTCCCCGATTCCAACTAGGAATAGGTTTGTTTTTATGTTTTATGTTTTCTTTGAGGTTTGAAGTTTGTTTAGCGGTTGGGTTGGTTTTACAGGGTATAGTTGCTATCCGTATGCCCAACCTTCGCCCTTCATTCGGGCTTAGGACCGGCTAGTAACTAGTGAACTGGTAAACTATTCAAGATTCAGTATACAAGTCGGCGATATCAAGCTTACCATTTTGTTTACTTTAATACAAAACTCAATCATCTAATTTATGCTTTAACATATAGGAATTAGCTAGTTTAGATTTTGGATAGTTTTTAATTGCCTCTGGAACCAATAGTCAGTATTATAACAACTCTGAAGTTGTAATGGTTCAAAATATAACCAGGGTCTGAAAACGTGGTTTATGAACTTTGATAGCACCATAATTACGACTACGATTGTGATTCTTATGGAAATAGTTTCATTCCGAGTATTAAATCTGCTGTGGTTTATTAACCTTATTCATAATGGTGCCCACTGATCTACCAATTTCATCATGCGGTCGTGTCAGTATATATTCATTGACTTTCTGATTGTGATCAGATTTGTTTAAAATCACTACTGAGTTCTGTTTGTCTCATATAACTCTTAACATCTTGTCATCTTTTTGAAAGTTCGTCAAAGTTTGTAAACCTAGTTTTGATAAATTTTATCGAAGTTTCTTCCTTCTTTTGAACGTTGGTGTGCACCATGCTATTTCTACTTTGGATAAAGCTTCGTCATGTTTCGATTATTTAACTGGCTCAGTGGATAATGCTTTGGATTTTAAAGCTAATGGTACTGTGTTCAAGCTTCAATGGGAACACCATCACTCTGTACTGGGGTGCAAATGCTTGAGGCTGATGAGTCCCAAGTAGGACGAAACACACATCCTAGATTTCTCTGCTAGTCATCAAGATCAATATAAAATCATAAATATTCAACACTATTGAGGCATTCACATAGAAGCCTATCTGCTAACAGAGGTCGAGCAATTCAACCCTGTAGAGAAACGGGAAGTTACAAGTATTATAACAACTAGAAGCTAAATCCTTTTTTGAGTGTATTTACTTTCAGTAAGCTTAAGACTCTAGTTGAGAAATTGGCAAGCTTCTTCAGTTAATCCGATACTGAGGATGTGGTATTGGTACTTTCATTATACTTCATTGGATGATTTCCTTCTTTTGGTTGGTTGATTTTATTAATTCGAGTATTTTTAGATTTTCTAAAGACATCTGATTTCACTTTGTTTAAATTTGTCAATCAATAGGCTATAGTCTTCTTCACTAGTTTCAATTGTACAACTTCTTAACTATTCCGTAAATTATGGTTTGAGCATCTGAGATAGCTGTAGTTTTGGTAGACTAGTATTTGTACTGGGTGATGATTGAAGGTGAGATGAAAATATGGACCGCGAACGGATTTGAACCAGCAGCCACCGGGTTGCCGGCCCGGTGCTCGACCACTGAGCTACGAGGTCTAACTGCTGACCAGAATTTTACTTCAATCACAAGGTGGGGATTTGCCCGACTACCATGTGAATTCATGATGCGTTACTACCGCTTGATCGTGTTCACACTGGCTGCCTAATCAGGACTTCTCATTCCTATGTGATTGAAATGAAATAAATTCTGGTCAGCAGTCGGACGTCGTAGCTCAGTCGGTAGAGTACCGGGCAGGTAACCCGGTGGTCATTGGTTCGAATCCGGCCACAGTCCAGATTTCCATCCCAATCCAAATCTAACTGAATCAGAGAGGGGAAGCATCATATTGATTATGATTTGACTATCTATGATAGCCGTAGTTTGGCAGACTAGTATTTGTACTAGGTAAATTTCTTTTTTCAAAGAAAGTTTGCCGACACTTTTTTTGCCATGATAAATGGAGTACAAACTTGTTTATATTTTGAAACAGTTGATTTTTAAGATATCGAACAGTCGAATAGCGTTATTACTGAAAACCGAAGATTATTGATCACAAAATCAGTGATAATCAAGTTGTGTTTTTTTCATGTAAATCATATGCTCATTGGTACTGTTATCTAATATGGTCAGCTGATTTGTACTATCAATGCGTTGTTGCAAACTTACTAAAAATGCATCAACTTACTTTAAGATGACACTTGAAACAACTTTCTTACTTTCTAGGTAGTATTCATCATAGACTGACATCAATTGGGGAACTATTTGAAATCTGTGAGCACTGGACAGCTGGTTCGTCCAACTAGTATGAGACTTCTCAGCAGTATGCAGCCACGACCCGACTAGGGATCGGACTCAGGACCTTAAGGTTTCACGGCAAGCGCATTAACCATTCAGCCACTGGGTTGATTTCCAGTGGCTCACAATTTTTAACTTCTGTCAATTCGCGGTATAGCGCGATTATCGCCTCGTGATATCCATCTAGAAGCAAGTCACTAATAAGCAGTATACAGTGACCACCAGGTTTCCGGCTCAGTACTCTACCAACTGAGCTAAGAGATTCGACCGTTGACGAGACCTATAAAACCAGTAGAGAACATCTGATGTTGAGAATTCTGAGAAATACTGATTAGAATTAAATGGTAATCAGTGAATCGTTTACTAGGAGATACAATCCAAATCTTTAACAGCTTATGATTGAATGATGTATACAGTAATAGAGAACATGTAGATAGCCCTTCGAAGATAAGTAAGCTGTGGTTTAGTGAAACATAAGGTTATGAACTGTTTTGAACTATTTTTGTTCCATCTAATGTTTTTGTCTCTGTTAAGAAAAATGTTTACAAAAACAAATCTTTTACTTTCAAGCATTCTTGCACTTGAGAATCATGTGAACTAAATTTTGATTAGGTAAACTGCTGGCAATATGCCACGTATCACTCCTAGATTAGTTCCATTCAAAATGTATAATTATACATTACTATACATAATTAAAACACAGGCAATATCGAGGCATCCTCTCAGGAGCCCACATGCAAACAGAGACTGACCAATTCAGTGCAATCAACGACGGTATAATACAAACAATAACACTAAAATTATACCCGTTGCATAAGAAGTGGCTATCGTGGTTCGGTGGTGTATTGGATAACGCTCCCGCGTTTAAAGCGATCGCTCCCGAGTCGGAATCCCAGTGGGGACAACATCACTCACTGGGAGGCAGGTACATCTAGCTGACGAGTTTCAAATAGGAAGAAATGCATCAGTGTAAATGGAGAGGAATATATTTATATGATCCCAATGTGGTAGGGGTTTACTCATTGATTCCTTTATAAAGACAATTCACCCAATACTGAACTTATTCCGTTCTATCAGGTCAAATTTTGATCTTGAAGCCTATAAAATCAGTGAAAATAGTTACAAAAGATACGGCCACTTAATGTATTTGATACAGTCCAAAAGGTGGTCAGATGTTGCCTGAGTAGGTCAGTGGTAATGTCACTGACTGCAACACTGGGTGGTGTGGGTTCGACTCTCGCAAAGGAAATCAATTCGTCGAGGCTTTAGATACGCCCTACTGACAAGTGCCAACAAGCATGAAACCTAGGTCAAAGAGGGCTTCCTGCCAATTTTCTCTAACCAACTAATATCCATTAAAGTGCACCGCGATGGTGGGCCATCTAGCTTGGTGGCCACATTGCAAATACGATCGTTAGAATTCGGTCTGCACTCAGGGTTAGACAACATGAGATTGGTTGCTGTCTAGTGACCAGTCACTATATGAGCATAATTCTTGGTTTATCTCTTGTTCTCATGTTTGATCCTTTTGACTCTTCAACAGCCACTTTTTTCTCTTAGCCAATGTTTGGGGAAATTAAACTGCTTTCAAACAAGAACTTACTAATCGCGGACTATCTTCATTGGATTGTAACGTGAAGGAGTTTAGCTCACTACAAGTAAACAACGTAGCTGAAAAGAAGCTATCTAATTAGTAATCTAAATGATAACAGTTTACCTATTACCTCTGAAATTATTTGCATTCATCTAAATGTTAGACGTTATTTTTTAATGATACCTGTAATTTCCCGCTGCTATACAGGGCCGAATTGCTCGACCTCTGATACCTGTTGCACAAGAGGTGGCTATCGCCTTTGAGTGGCTTAGTAGATAACGCTCTGGCCTGTGAAGCGAAAAGTATTCGGCTCGAGACCCAGTGAAATAGTAGGGAATATATGTAGCTCAGGTGCATTGTATTGTCAATGACACAACAATCAGAGGAAACAACCAATCACAGACCAGTTCGTCAGGGCAAGCTACTTAATCACTCACGGAGGGATGTTGACAACTCACTTCATACTGAAGTTATTGCTGATTATGTCGTCTTTGCAGACGATGAAAGCTTCATGATTAAACAACCCAGCTCAGAGAACACAATACAACCAAGTAAAAACCACTCTGCACTGGTGTTCAGGTATATCTGGCTGACGAGTCCCAGATAGGGCGAAACACGCATCCTGGATTCCTCTGTTAGTCACCAAGATTAACATAACAGTTGGCGTTGTTTCTTCATGGCAGAAGTTTTTCGGAAACAACTTATCACTTTGGGACGTATTCCTAATTTTCTTCATCAGTGTGAGAAATTTTGTTCCACAAATAAAATAATGAAGAACACAGTAGAGTATTTTCGTTTCTAACCAATTACTAGCTGTAGTAAAATGTAACTCGAATTGTGATATACCCCTCGTATATTGGAATCAGTTGAAAGGTTCAATTTATCCTACTAACTATGAAAGAAATCAATCAAAAAGGTAAGGCGAGAATTCTAATACGTAAAACAACATATATTTTTATGGCTTTCAGTAGTTTAACTCATCACCACAAAATGTATCACCGAAATGTATGACATATATCATCTAAACGAATGTTCATGTTTTATTTCACAATAGTATGGTATCCATCTTATAATGATTTTCAAATTTTATAGATGTGCGTTTTATAGTAAATAATTTTCTCTCACTTTTTTTGTTATAGGTATGATTTTAACGGTTACCTGAGCACTTTTTTGTCCTAACGATGCACCAGTCAAATTATTTATTATCTTTCTTGTTTTATATCTTTCAAAAAATCACGTAGTATAACCATCATTAAGCTAGATGTTTTAATCTTAGAGATTTCGTAGTAATTCTAGACATCACCAGCACAAACTTCAGAACGAAGTGAGCTATAAGGTTCCCGTCACCATTTATTTAGTAGCTTGCTCTGATGGCCTTGCGTTTGATTGGTTATTTTTTACCAAAAAATGAACATACAGACAATGATAAAACCTTAACAGAAACAACCAATCACACACAAGGTTATCAGGACAGGCTACTAAATAAATTGTGAATAAAACCTTATAACTCACTTCTTTCTGAAGTTTATGTTGATGGTGTTACTTAGGATGACAATGAAAGCTCCATGACTCAAACATCCATCTCAGAGAACACAACATCATCAAAATTATCCTCCATTATCTCATAAAGACATTCCAGTTAGGGATGTTGCTCACTGAGATGTAAATGTTACATCCATCACTCCAAATCTTAACCTGTTAGTAAATATGTTTTCAGATTTCTTGGAGTAAGATTAGATTGGAAAGAAGCTGCGAGTGATCAAACCAAGTTGTAGCACCAATCTTTGAAATCTGTGCTTGTTAGTATAAGCTTAGCAGTTAAATATAATACTCCTGGTCTGGGGATCACCAGATGGAAAAAAATGGACGCTTGGAAGTTTTTGAGTAATTGACTGAGAGTTGATCACAATGACTTCAGTGCTTCTATTATTTGATTATATTTAAACATCAATACAACGCGCTCTTATTTATTTTGCTTCATTTGTTAAAAATGCTGAAGTTTTATACTTTTTTCGTTGTTTTCTTCTTTGTTTTGTTGATCACCACTTCGATGTATCGATATACGGTTTGATATCGAAGACCGTTACACAATAACTCTAGATTCTTTGTACTATATATCTGATTGCCTTAACAGCAAGGTCTCTTAGAGTCTAAATAATTTTCTCTCGTATATATATATATATATATATATATATATATATATATATATATATATATATATATATATATATATATATATATATATATGATTACCCAACTGATGTCAGTCCATGATGAATACTACTTCTAAATTAAAGATTCCCATTCATCTCAAAAATACATTACTTTATGGTGCTCATAAGTGACTTGATTCCAAATGGATATCACGAAGCTCTAATGAGAAGCCGGGACCTGTGGGGTCAACCAGTTGGAAGTGAAGTGGATGATAACTGAAGACCTTGGGTGACAGTCGCTCTATGCCGTGAATTGACAGAAGTTGGAAATTGTGAAACACTGGAAATCGACTCAGTGGCTGAATGGTTAACGCGTTCGCTGTGAAACCTGAAGGTCCTGAGTCCGATCCCTAGTCGGATCTTGGGCACGTACTGCTGAGTAGTCGCATACTAGTTGGACGAAACAGCTGTCCAGTGCTGACAGATTTTCAATGGTTCCCCAACTGATATCAGTCCATGATGAATACTACTTCTAAATTAAAAATCCCCATTCATCTCAAAAATACATATGTATATATCTTATTTTCAGCAAGTCAATGTTGAAATAGTACATGATATTGGCGCTGGAATGGCATTTTATGGTACAACTATTTACATTTTGTTATCTGCATATGTAAGCAAACGGTACCTCACAGCACACTATTGCATATGGGGATTCAGATTATTACTCGGTATTGGATCTGCAATAGCAACGGTTCTTTGTAAGTTAAGTAATAATACCTTGAAAAGTATTTAAGATTTTTTTAATTTCTCACACATTAATTATTATATTGTGAGCTTATGAATAAAACTTACTTACTTTATAGAATGTGATAATTGTTAGTCAGCTTTCTTAACCTTTTTCTTGATTGTGAAATAAGAGTCCTGAACGCTTGTTTATTCCATCTAAATTACGTCCTGATTGATAAAATAATTATTTAGTCGAAAGCATTCGTTTCCCGATATAGATTTAAAACAAGCAATAAACGTAATCAAACCAGGATTTATTGAATTCATAAGTTTCAGTAGAACTCATCAGCTTTTTACTCTACATACGTGATTTGATGTATTTGAAGGTATCTTGACCAACAATGGACCGGATGTATAATTGTTTTTATATGATACCGTCGTTGATTGGACCGAATTGATCGGTCTCTATTGACACATGGGCTCCTGTGCTGATGCTTCGATATTGCCAACGTTCTATTTATGTTAGTGACGGATTGTGTCCAGCAGTGGAATCCAGGATGCACATTTCGTCCTATTTGAGACTCGTCAGCTGGATGTGCCTGCTTCCATCTGACGAGTCCCAAATAGGACGAAAGGTGCATCCTGGATTCCATTGCTAGCCACGATCCATCATTAACACAAATGGACTGGATGGTTTGAAAAAAACTTGGGCACCGAGTTAGTATGATTCATTGTACAGGGTGTATTATTACTTGTGTAATCCCGGCGTAGTATATTAGAACAAATAACAAAATAAACAAAATATTTGTTTATTTTGTTTGTTCTAATATACTACGCCGGGATTACATAAATAAAAATACACCTTATACAATGAATTTTATATATTGTTGCGCAATAAAGGAATACATATAGTAAGAAATGGTAGTCACCCTGAATCTACCATGGTAGAGATGTCAAGATATTTTGAACTTATTTATTTTTGTTTTCAATTATTTGTGTCTTATTTTTTCCACTTTATTTCTTCCTATACTTCGCATATTTACCTCTTCACTATCATTCTGCTGTAATGTCATGTTCTCTTGAACTTCTTCGCTCACTAGTCAAATGACATATCTCCATCGTTATTATCATTGTTATCGTCCAACTTATTACTCTAGCCTCCTTTTGTTTTACACTGTTACCAAGCTTCTTGATTGATGTTCATTTATCTCGTTTCAAAACTCTGTAATTCTTAATCTTTTCAATATTCATATTCTCACTGTTATCATTGTCACCGTTACTACTCACTCGTATTATTACTATTATAATCAATATTTTTGTTTACCTAACACCTATATTCTCCTTTTAGTGTTCACCTTTATCAAGCTACCTAGTTGACTATTAATTGTTCTGTTCAAAATGATGTAATCAATCCTTAGTTCTTCTTACTTTTCATTATCAATTTGTTACCTTCCTTCTAACGTAAGTAAATGATTCACTCCATACTGCCATGCCCCAGTCAATGTCTTATTCTGTATTGTGTGTGCATATAATCCTTTATTGCTCAATGGTTTATAAAATTATGTATGTAGAGTAAAAAGCTGATGAGTTCTACTGAAATTTATGAATTCAATAAATCCTGCTTATTGTACCGGCTGATGATTGAACGTGAGATGAAAATCTGGACCGCAGCCGGATTCGAACCAGCGGCCACGGGGTTACCAGCCCTGCTTTGATTACGTTTGTTGCTTGTTTTAAATTATTTAATCATTTTCAGAAGTGAAATGTAATGGTAGAATGCAATGCTAGTATTTGGGTCTCAATATTCTCTGGTCACTATATACTGATGAATCAGTTGTTAGGGTTCAGTATGATATGTTGTTGCCCTGCATTTAACTACAAGCCAATAGAGACTGATTAATTCGGTTCAATTAACAACGAGATAATACTAGCGACAACATAAAAAACTATACCCGTTGCACAAAATTAGCTATTGTGGCTTGGTGACCTAATGGATAGCACTCGGACGTTTGAAACAATTTGTCTTGGGTTCGAATACTAGTGGGAATAATGTTATTCACTGTAATACACGTACATTCAACTGGAAAGTCCTAAATAGGACGAATCCCGGATTCCACTACTAGTCACTATACATCATTTCTTGAGTGTGATAGATTGGAAATTTGAATGAGCGGCAAACAATAAAATATAGTGTTTTCAGAATGAATTTTTAAGTATTTTTAATTTGCTATTCGCCACGAGGTGATATCAATAGGAGCGCTGGATAGCTGTCTTATCTGGGTATGCGGCTCCTCAGCAGTCATCATCCTTGACCTCGTCAGGCATTGGACCCAAGACCTCTAGGTTTCGCAGTGGTCTACCTTCTGCTTCTGTCAATTCTCAATATAGCGCTACCGTTATCTAATGGCGTCGTCGAGTACTTTTTTAATGCCCGACTAGATTTGTTCTACTGGTCATAACTTTGCATTAGAACTTCGAGATGAATAATAACTTTAATTTATTGAATTTTCATAAACCTTCAGAGTGATTTACTGTTTGGTGCGATTAATTACATACTTCGAGATGAGATTTCCTGAAGTGGTGCTAACCAAGTTGGATTTGAGGATATATGTACTCAACGATGATATTGGACAAAGATGGTGACGTATTTAGAATTAACAGAAGTAGGAATATGTAGAATATTGGATTTCGACCCAGTGAGTCAATGATAACATGCTCATTGCGAAAGTCCAGGGTATGATCCCTGGCAGGGTTACGTATGTGCACTGTTGATGAGTCCTATATAAGAACGAAACACTTGTCCAGTACTGCCACGTTTCCAATGATTCGCCAGTTGATTTCAGTCCACAATGATTACTAACTTGAAATCAACACACCCCAAAAACCACAAGATTTAAAATGTTCTCTTATGGTTTATTGATACATTCTCTAAGGATAAAATAACAATATTTGTGAGTCACTTTGTTGTTAGAAATTAGGAAGCTACTGATAAAGTCATTTTTAGGTTGATATTCATAATGAATTGACACCATTTGAAGGAACATTGGAAACTGGGGAGGACTGGATAGCCAGCTGCTTCGTCCTAGTATGAGACTCCTCAGCAGTGCGCACTCATAACACCACCAGAGATTGGACCCAGGACCTTCAGGTATCCGTAACCAGTACCTTACCATTTAGCCACTGGGTCGGAATCCAATAGTCCACATTTCCTACTTCTGTCAGTTCACGATATAATGTGACCTACATCCAATGTCGTCATTGAGTTTGCTATTGAAGCAACTGAAAATGATTTATTCTAAGATTTAGTTTCGGATGATAAATTAAAATAACTTTTATCGATAATTTAACTTATTTTTTCATACTTGTGCCCGAAGTTAACTTATCGGTATTTCTAATCACCTGAACTAGTGATTATGAGATCCTTGACATTATCTTCCCTTGAATAAGATTCAAGATTTACTTCACTATCAATCATTATCTTTTTATAATGAAATCAACCTGAACATATTGACAATGTTGGATAAGACTTCATTCATTTTTATTTCAAATCGATTTGATTAAATATATTACAAGATCAAACATTTATCAACCTCATTCAACAACTATATGAAGACGCCACATGCGAAGTGATCTACAATGGAAAGCTCAGTGACGCCTTTGAAGTGAAGACAGGAGTAGGACAAGGCTGTCTACTATCACCCATGATCTTTCTGATTGTGGTCGACTGGATCATGCAGCAGACAACTGTGAGGAGCGAGAAGAGTAGTATACGCTGTTTGACCGGGGAAAAGATCCCAGAAGAAGATTTGGATTTCACCGATGACTTGAGTCTAATGTCTTGTCGCAAAAACTCGAAGATCTACAGGCGAAAAGTAACAAGTTGACAGAAGAGGCATGGCAGCGAAGATGAAACTTCAAGTGAACGTAGAGAAGATGGCGGTGATGAAGATACCCATCCAACGCAACCAACACCACCACCAACAACAACCACCAATCACCATCAACGCACTCAGCACAAAGAACAAGATTCGGATTTTCAACACCAACGTCAAGTCAGTGCTCCTGTATGGTTCAGAAACTTGGTGCGTTACGAAAAGCATTTCCAACAAACTACAGATATTCATCAACAACTGACACCTACACTGGCTCGTTACTGAAGCTCAGATAGATGGCCAGAAAGAATAAGCAACAAGAATCTCACTCTGGCTGGCAACAAACCAACGAAGCAAGAACCTATCACTCAACAGATATGCAGAATGGGGAAGTAGAGATGGATTGGGCATGCACTGAGAAGACCGACGATTCGGGGTCATGACAAAGTAGGCCAGGTCATTGAGTGGAACCCATTGAGGAAACGACGAGTTGGGCGTCTTTGGTGATGGTGACATGGAGGAGATCGTGTGAGGAAGAAATGAGAGCTTGTGGGCAGTTGTGGAGTCAGGTTGAAAAGACTGTCGAGAGTAGAGTTGAATGGAGACGTGCTAGTGAATCCCTATGTTCCACTAGGAACCCAAGGGACAAATAATAATATTACAAGATATGACTGAGTATAGAGTATGCTTAAAAAATGAAGATTTTGCTTTAATATCTCAGTAATATGATATTTTGGTAGGCATTAAGTTTTATAATTGAGTTGATGATATTTTTGTGAGTGTTATCCAAAAATCGCTGGTTTGTTTCTCTTTGTGAGTTTGCTACCTCTCAAGTTCATGCAGGATCCCTGAATTGATGATGTACTAAAATATATTGCATTATTATAAATTATATGCCATTCATTCAGGATATCGAAATATATGACCGTTCCACAGCATTTTCATTTTGACAAACCACAAAGAAGTAGCACTGAAACAAAATTATTCCAGTATTACGTCACGATGTTAGTGTAATTTTAGTTCATCATAAGTTACACCTAAAATAAAATGTTATTGTTGGATTTAAGACAGTATATTATTTCTCTTCTCTGCTTGCTTGGAATCATATATTATGTAGTTACCAACAAACCGTATCTGCAAACTGTAAAAATCATGTGTTCTGGAAGTCAGATGTACAATATTGTCAACCTTCTAAAGGACTAACCTCTGAGGTATTCAAGTAACGAGTTACACCGTAGGTATTGGGTGTACTGTTGACTCTGTTTCCAGCTGATAAACAAAGTCATACCTTAATCACTAGTGCTAAATAACAATTGACAACTAAAACAGTATTGGTTAGTATCTTGCCATCTATCTCTTTACTTTTTCTTAATGAAACGACTAAGTACTTGGAGTCTTTGGAGTTCAAATTTTTGAGTCCAACTTGCAATCTATTTATTCCCTGATTATGTTGTAACAGATAATTTGACTGGCTAACATCATACATAATGGTTTCATATTTTGAACCTTCTCACTTCCAATAAATGCATTGCACCGGCGTCTTCATTAATGTGTTACGTGCGTGTAGCTGTAGTGTGGTTGTTACTTACTTCAATTACATTTAACTCAGTCAACTATTAGAAATGTTTTACAGCATGATCTGTGTAGAAATCTAAGTTACACAGATATTTCTTCAGTATTAGTTTGTCTACTATGATATCACTGTTTTCTACTTAAATGTTCGTTACCCATATCATTATTATTACTTGTGCCTATGGTTCATAGTGGGACATAGGGCTTCAGTAGCACGTCGCCATTTCACTCTCTTCTCTGCAGTCTTTTCAACCTGGCTCCATGACTCCCCAAAAGCTTACATTTCTTCCTCATACCACCTCCTCCATATCACCCTGAGCTCAGACGCCCAACTCGTGGTTTCCCAAATGGGTTCCACTCGAAAGCCAGGCCTAGTTTGTGATGTGCACAAATAGTCTTCTCTGTGTATCATCCAATCCAATCTACCTCGACTTTCTTCTTCTGCATATTTGTTGGGCGATAGGTTCTTGCTTCGTTGGTTGGTTGCCAGACATAGAGATTTCCTTGTTGCCTATTGTTTCTAGCCACTTGATCTGATCTTGAGTATGGAGTGAGGGTAGGTGGCAGATGTTGATGTACATGTGTAGTTTGTTGGAAATGCTTTTTGGTGACGCTTTAAGTCTCTGAAACATCACATAGAAAAACTGATATGAGTGATGTTAGTGTTGAAATTTGGGATGTTGTTCGTGCTTTATATTGAGTGCAGTGGAGTGCATTGAAGTAGATCTGCACCCTGATTATTTCAGATTGATGAAGTGTGTCCTGTCTTGCTGTCTTTCCGATCCTGGCTTTGACATTGTTATCTGTGCTGCCACCTGTAGTTGAGACGATGCTGAGTGCCTAGGTGAGTGGGTGATGGAGAGACAACTTCGTTTATATTTGTCGCATTGATGGTGCTTGTTGTTGTTGTTGTTGTTGTATGGGTATCTTCATCACCTGTATCTATTGTACGTTCATATGAAGAAAGTCTCGTCGTCGTTGCTTCACCTTGCCTCTTCTGTCAACTTGTTAGTTTTCATAAATTGATTGATTGTGGCTAGTAGAAGAATCGAGGATGCGCACTTCATCCTATTTTGGACTCGTCAGCTGTATGTACCTGCACCCCAGTGATGTTGTTCCCATTGGGACTCGAACCGCGTGCCTACCGCTTCTAACATCAAGGCGTTATCCACTATACGATGGAGTGACGATGGCCACTTCAGGCAATATCAAGGTATACGCATAAGAGCCTATATGCCAATAGAAGTCGGACACTTCGATTCAAGAAGACAATGGAGAATAACAAATATGTCAATCAATAGTACTTGTTAGTTTTCGCCTGTAGGATTTCGAGTTTATGTGACAAGACATTAGACATAAATCATGATCATTGGCGAAATGCAAATCTTCTAGTGTTTGTATGCTCATCTTCTCACTTCTCAGAGTTTGTTGCATTATCCAGTTGAGTCGAGTTCAGTCGACCACAATCAGAAAGATGATGGGTGGTAGTAGGCGCAACCTTTTTTTTACTCCTGTCTTTACTTCAAAGGTATCACTGAGCTTTCCATTATGAATCACTTGGCATATAACGTCTTCAAGTAGCTGTTGAATGAGGTTGATAAAGGTTTGTAACACTAAAAGCGTAGTGTTGAAGCAGTTACCGACTTACTTCTCGGTCGATGCTGTCGAAAGTCTTTTCAAAATCGATGAAGTTAAGGTGAAGACTTGACTGCCATTCTATACTCTCTACTATGATGATGCGTAGCGTTACAATTCGATTCGTTGCCTGTATATGTATAAACTATTTCTTAAAGTTGTGTAGTTATCTTGGTATGACTATGGATAATAAATTGTATCTGAAGTATTATTCAACTGCTGTAAAGTATCTCAGTTTTAACTGATAGACTTCTGAATGAGATTCTGTGGTAATGCTACCTATGCGTCTTCGTTGATTAGTTCTATCCTAATATTTTCAGTACTTTGATTATTTTTAGATTATAGACTGAACTGTTGTGAATGATTAAAATATTTCAATATTCTGATATTATTATATATGAAATATCTATCCGACTTTCTTTTAGATTGTCACATAAAGATATATATTCTTATTTTAATTCAGAGAATTAATTCAAAACTACTTAACACGTTAAGCTTTCTCTATTGAAGTTCAATATAAACATCAGTGTAATAAGTAGTTAATCTATGAATGGTTTAATAATAAATTTTGTTATAATTCATATTCATTATTTCAGTATTGAAAATGTTTTTAATTTTAGTCTCATCTTGTCATATATTCTCGCGAATGCATTATAAGGGTACGCAAGAAGAGTCTTTAACCCATCGACATCCAGGACAAGGTGTAAGTTATATCATTTACTTATTATTATTATTTGTCCCTTGGGTTCCTAGTGGAATGTAGGAATTCAGTAGCACGTCTCCAGTGCACTCTGTCCTCTACAATCTTTTCAACCTAGCTCCATGACAGCCTTCACATGATCTCCTCTATGTCACCGTCGTTTTGGGAGGCCCAACTTGTCGTTTCCCATCTGGGTTCCATTCAAGTGCCTGGCGCGTGATGTTCCCGAATGGTCTCATTTACTTATACTAAATTTTTTTTTGTGTATTATGACCACCAACGTTATTTTTTTCTTTTAACGAGCATTACACTTATTCGTTTAGTTTATTATTATTATTTTGTATGAATCAATGTACACTGCTGACAAATCCTAAATTATTTATGAATAGTTGTAAGTAGTAATGATTATTTTGATGATAAATTGTCTGTGTAAGATTTGTATTGTGCGTCATTTCAACTAGTAAACAGTAAGATGATAGATAAAGATAGTATAATAGACATCAGATGATAGATGAAAGAATTTTTCATATTAATGATACAATATTGACAAGTATAATATTCATTCAATTGTTGAAATGTGTTAATGTTTAGAATATGCTTGACTGTTACTTAGTGGATATGAAATCATGCTAAGGATTATTTGGGAGAATATTAATTCTATAAGATACACTCTACACATCAGCATCATAACCTTTTCTGTTAGAGTTTACCGTAGAAAGTGATAGCCTAATATAGGTGATTAGAGTTATCGTTTTGCAGAAGTATTTTTTGACGAAAAGCATACTACGATTGTTTATATTTACACTTTATTTACTCTTGATAATCATTAGATTGATATCTGCTTGTCTATGAATAATTCATTTAAAATGAAGTCAATTGTAAACTCAAAAGGATAACTTTTTTTTTGTTATCAGTTTTCACTACACTCTTCATCTTAGTACAATTAAGAAAGTGTTTACAGGGTTTATGATGATTATTAAACCTGATAATGAATAGTTATACGAAATTAATACTCATGTAATTATAACATGAATTCAGAAAAATTCGTGCACCTAATTGAATAAAATTAATCCAAGCTTTGACCTGATTGAAAACTTCGTATTAGCTCAAATAAGAAGTCTTTAGTATCATTGTCCGTACATTGTCCGTTCTTGAAAAAAAAAACAATAAATGGAATAGCTCATTGATAGATCGTAGAGACGGTAGCTAAGAAGCTACTTGTTTGAATCTTGCTGCTATTCAAGTTTTTAATTACGACCTGATGTCAGTACCACAATAAAAGAACAAAAAGATCGGGAAGTAATTAGGCGGTTTTCCCAGAACAGTATTACTTACGTAATGAATAACCGCTAAAAGTATCGATAAACCAATAACAACATACGACCAGACATTACTGAATAATGATCCAAGTTGCCACACCTCATATCAGCACAATAAATAAGAAATTAGTAGGATGAAACATGAAGAAAGAGGGAGAAATCGGTCAAAAGCAGTAGAATGCCGTGAAAGATAAGGGGAATAAGAAAAGACTGAATTCCGTATACCAGTTAAAATGAAGATAAGATGGGGATATATGCGCATCACTGACATCGATTCTGAGCCATATCATCTAGAGTCTGTAGGCATCGGTTCTTGTTGTCACGTGGACCTGGGCCAGCCAGTCTGCATGCTCACATGACTCAAACCAACAGTCAAGGACTTTATGCAGTGACGCCATATTTTAGTTTAGGTAACTCAGGTTATTTTCCAGACTTAAACAAAATTCAGCCAACATTGCACAACAAGATAGACGGTGACTACGTATGCATAACACATAACACTATCCAATGGAGACGTTTTCTACAAGATCTCTACATTACGTGGTTTAAGACCACTGTATAATAATCGTTAAAAGTAGTATCATGATGTCTTTGTATAAAACTTATGTTGCCTTGCTTAAGTATGAAGTGTTTCTTAATTGTGTGCAAGCTTATAACGACAACTGATTACTGTTAGTTTTCAACGCACATTTTCCTGAAGTGATTTCTTAAGGTTTTGAGTAGGTGTAGCTAATGTGTGATGGTCATGAATGCATTGTGTTCCCTGAGCTGCGTTGTTTAATCATGAAGTTTTCATCGTCTTTCTAGACGACATCATCAGCACTAACTTCACTATGAAGTGAGCTGTCAATATCTCTCCGTGAGTGATTTAGTAGCTTGCCTTGACGAACTGGCCTGTGATTGGTTGTTTCCTTTCATTGTTGTGTCATTGATTGTATAGACTTTCCTGTTGGCTGTTCCTCTACTTCACCTCTGACGTTTTTGTCGATTATCTTTTTTTTATTGGTTGATAGATTGGATCTATGTCTATACATCTGTTGAATGCTGACTGACTTGAATGCCAAGCTTCTAGGAATTCTCTGATATTCTTTGAGTTTCTTCTCTCCGTCCAAATCGAATTCATGTCCATGGTTGTTATCCACGTGCATTGAAATGAGTGATGAAATGTCGCGCATAACTTTTAATAGCCAATTAGTGTTCATGTAGACGATGAAGGCGAAGAGGGTGATGACTTTTTCCAATGTAGTGTTGACCACAGTCATTGCAGGTGATTTTGTAAATGATATTCGGTTTGTCTTCTTTGGCTGTTGCATGTTTTGGTCTGCATAATGGGGTTTGGAGGGAATTTGTTAGTTTATGAGCCACATCAATTCCACTAAGTGGTCTCAGTAATCTTGTCGTGATTTCTGATATATTCTTTATGTATGGTAGGGTGATGCGTTTGTTGATTTCTGTCGATGACTTTGTAGTTGATGTTGTACGGGATAGACATCTTCTGATAAAGTTTTGTGGGTAACTGTTCTTCTTTAGGATGGACATCAAGTAATTTTCTTCATTTCTCCGTGAAGTTGTTGTATTACAGTATGTTCTTGTTCTTTTGAATAGAGTCTGCACGCAACTGATTTGTGTGTTGTTGGGTTGTTGCCACAGTAGTTTAGGATTTAGTCAGTGTGTGGTGGCTTCCTGTACACTTAGGTTTCCAGGTTTTCGACATTTGTCCTACTGACTGAAAGATCCCGGAATGGTAGTTGGTTGTCTGACTCCTTCTCTGTTGTGAATTTGATTTGATTGAAGACGATGTTGATCAAACTGTGAGTGTTTTCTATATCATCTTTTTTAATGATGACAAGAGTGTCATCCACATAGCGAATCCAAATTTTTGGTTTGATTGCAGGTAGAATGATGGCTTCCAGTCTTTGTATCACTGCTTCTGCAATTAATCCGGATATCGGTGATCCCATTGAAATTCCTTTCATATTTGTATATCTTGCCGATGAATTGAAAGTATGTTGTCATACAAAGATTGATGAGTTCCATCAGACTTAAACATTTGAGTTTTGTGCCTTCTAAAAGGACCGTGTGTGTGTGATGGTCGCTTCATATTGGATAAGGATGAATAGGAACTGCTACTGTATCATTTCTGAGAGTAATTACAAAAACCAAGATGACCCTTTTGTTTAGAAACTCACTAAATATGCGCTAAATAGCTTTTCACACTTATCAAAAGATATGCATTGCCTTTGCATTATTTCTCCCGTTATCATCCTTCATGCCAAGATAATTAAGAATCGTGTGTTGTGAGCAGAAGTACTTGAAAGGCTACCTCTGGATTGAGTTCTATCCAAAAAGGATAAAAACACAATCAGCTGATTGGCCAAAAGTATGTGCTCATTTAGAGGAGTTTATATTTCGAAGAAATAAAACGATTTTTTCTTGTTCAGTATTTAGTCAACTGTGTAAATCCTTTAACTGTAGTGTCATGATTCTAGTATATATCTGACAAATTGTCATTTGTGAGCACTACCTATCCGGAAACATATTTTAGTGACATCTGTGATCACTGATTTTGGCATTTGGCCATCTTTACCTTCAAGGTTTAAATAATAATAATAATAATAATAATAATAATAATAATAATAATAATAATAATAATAATAATAATAATAATAATTCTACCCAAATGTTTAATATGACTACATTTTGATCGAATATTTTCGAACTGTATCTTTGCACACTTCATGTTTATCATAACTTCAAATTGATATTTTGCCTACAGTTCACAAAGATTATTCATTTCCTAAGTTATAGCTTTGCATTTGTACAAAATGTAAACCAGTTTGAAAATTTTTCAGTTATAAGTTTCGAAGTATTCTTTGAAAATTTATGTATAATCATTAAAAAATCGAGTGTTTGAATATTTACTCCTGTTGTTGAATAAAAAGTAAACCTGTTAGAAAATATCAATTTATCATAATTAACATTTTATGTGATAGTGTTTTATTGTTTTTTTTCTTTCAGGGATTTCCATTTTATATTTGTAGTACAGGTTCAGAATGGATTTCAGGATTTTTCAATTTATGCTTTTTTGTTACATGGGCGTATGAATTCCAGTATTATGCTGTGCAACTTCCAAAGGTAAAGTTGATTACTTTTTAATTGTATAAGTTGCCAATACCTTTATGACGAACAGGTAAACTTAATGATAAGTTTGTTATGAAACAACATTTTTTGTCAATTTTTAAATTTCCTCTGTAGTTATCGAGAGGGGTTTCCTAAATAGGAGTATATTAACTACAATTAATACGCTAAAAGTTTTTATTCCTCTCTGTAACACTTATGCTTGATAAGAACACATATGTAAGCCACTAGTAAATGTAACTGGTATTGCATCATCCTGAATAGACTAAAGAATGCGTTGGATTCAGAACTACGACCGGAACAGGCTGCATTCAAAAAGTAAAAATCATGTGCGCACCAAATTGCAACCCTAAGCTACGCATCATCATGCAACAGAACATAGAATGGTAGTCAAATCTCTAACTCAACTTCATCAACTTTGAAAAGGTTTTCGACAGCGTCGACCGAAAAGTAATTCGTCAGTTGCTTCAACACTATGGAGTGCCACAAATCTTTATCGACCTCATTCAACAGCTATATGACGACGCCACATGACAGGTGATCCACAATGGAAAGCTCATTGACGCGTTAGAAGTGGAGACAGGAGTAAAACAAAGCTGTCTACTATCACCCATGATCTTCCTGATTATGGTCGACTGGATCATGCAGCAGACAACTGTGAGGAGCGAGAAGAGGGGAAAAGATCCCAGAAGAAGATTTGTATTTCACCGATGACTTGAGTCTAATGTCTTGTCGCAAAAACTCGAAGATCTACAGGCGAAAAGTAACAAGTTGACAGAAGAGGCATGGCAGCGAAGATGAAACTTCAAGTGAACGTAGAGAAGATGGCGGTGATGAAGATACCCATCCAACGCAACCAACACCACCACCAACAACAACCACCAATCACCATCAACGCACTCAGCACAAAGAACAAGATTCGGATTTTCAACACCAACGTCAAGTCAGTGCTCCTGTATGGTTCAGAAACTTGGTGCGTTACGAAAAGCATTTCCAACAAACTACAGATATTCATCAACAACTGACACCTACACTGGCTCGTTACTGAAGCTCAGATAGATGGCCAGAAAGAATAAGCAACAAGAATCTCACTCTGGCTGGCAACAAACCAACGAAGCAAGAACCTATCACTCAACAGATATGCAGAATGGGGAAGTAGAGATGGATTGAGCATGCACTGAGAAGACCGACGATTCGGGGTCATGACAAAGTAGGCCAGTTCATTGAGTGGAACCCATTGGAGAAACGACGAGTTGGGCGTCTGAGGTGATGGTGACATAGAGGAGATCGTGTGAGGAAGAAATGAGAGCTTGTGGGCAGTTGTGGAGTCAGGTTGAAAAGATTGTCGAGAGTAGAGTTGAATGGAGACGTGCTAGTGAATCCTTATGTTCCACTAGGAACCCAAGGGACAAATAATGGTGATAATATTGCAACAGTTATTAGATAGGTTGAAATATTTATACTGGGTGTTGATTGAAGCTTAGATTTTGTTCGGGTTGAGAAGTTCTGACTACGCAGCCAGTGTGAATACTATAAAGTGGTAGTACTGCATCATGAATTTGCATTGTAGTCGGGCAAAACTCTTGGTGATTAAAGTGAAATAAATTTCTGGTCAGTAGTTAGACCTCGTTGCTCAATTGGTAAAGCAGCAGGTCGAACGCCCGGTGATCACTGGTTCGAATCTGGTCCAAAATCTCATTTCAGTTTCAATCATCACTCAGTATCAATACTTGTCTATCAAACCATAATTATTTCAAATAGTCAAAATGATAAAATGTTTATTACAAATGAAGTAGTTCGTATTGTTGAAGATAATACATAATGCAATTCTACGTCACACTGACTCACTTTCAAATTTCAACTGTTATTTTCTAACGTTATTCACCATGAGTGATGCTATTTTGAATGCTTTCCATGTTATTATATATTCTTTTATTTGTAGATTGTTCACAAAGCACCTCTGGAAGTTTCAGACAGTATTCATTCAAAAAATTAAAGATAACTTTGGAATAGCTGAGAAGTTATTTCTTCCATTCACTTATTTAACTGATGCTATGAATTGATGTCTTTACTAAAAATTCACTCACATTTTAACATATTATACTGACAGTTGAATTTAATAATGATTTGGAAATTTACTTTTTTTTCTATGTCATCATTTTTAATTACGAAATCCAGATAATTGAAGATTTTTGAATATTTTTAGTTAAATTGTTTCCTAGGGCATTGTTCAACTTGTTTTTATAAGCAAATGTCATCCTTCTCACGGCAGGCCTGATTGAACTCTGGGCTATCTTTTTTATCACAAAATATATTGCATCAAATTTCTCATTTCTATATTGTTTTAATCGTTCAATTATGTCAACCAGTAGTATTGTATACTTTCGCACACTTTTAAAATCATTACAACCTATCGCTTTACAAGTTGATAGGCAAATTAACAAGAAGAAGCACCACGGTGGATGGTAACAGGCTCTCAAGCTTATGACCAGAGATCAAATGATTAGTCCGGAAATACTTAGCACAAACTGCAGGTCGTTGCCGAATAAATTTGATTACTTCGAGTCACTGTTGTCTACAAATGTTTGTTGAAACACTGGTGTAATAATGCCACAGGAAACATGGTTTCATAACCTGTATGAGGATGGTTTAGTCTGCTTATATGGCTTCAAATTATTTTGACGAGATCGAAGCTTTTCCAAGAAGAAATGTGGTGGTGGTGTAGCAACATTTATAAATGCAAACTGGTCCTCCTCCAACAGTGTATGCTACTGCTTCTCTAACGAAAAAATTGAGTGCATTACCATCAAATGTCGTTCCAAACATTTGAGCATATATATATATATATATATATATATATATATATATATATAACAGGCATTTATGTTAGACCTGACTTCAGTTTCGCAGACTTAGCTACTTTTGCTGATGAATTCACTGAATTTTCTGTTCCGGTCCTGGGTAACTCCTTGTGGAGATTTTAACTCATGTGTCTGCAGTTTTCTAGTATCATTGGGTCACAAAAATATGATTAACTTTTCCACCCGTTTTGACAACACCCTTGACTTAGTATTTACAAGTGAACCTGGCATATATGAAGCCCGCAAACGGGCTCCGCTGCTAAATTCTGACTACTGCATTTTACGTGTTTTGCCTAAAGTGTACGGCAAATTACATAAGAAAGCTTTCGGATACCTTTACAGGAAAGTTCATTACAGATGCTTTTTACAAGAGAATATATTACGCTTGAGAAGCATGCTTATAGGAACAGCCTGGGATATGTTTTCTCATGAAGTTTTAGACAACACTATCACCAATATCACAAGCTATCTCAGATTCTGTCTTGATATCTGCTGCCCTGCTGAAACAATCTACACGAGATTCCACAAACTTTCCACTCCTCATCTCAAGAGGCTCCGGAGGGAAAAGGAAAGGTTGTATAAGGTGAGAGATCGCCCTGGCGTTAAAAGACTTAATTGCCTAGTTAAGTCTGAAATATAACGTCTGAATACTGTATACAACCAGAAGTTCCTATCGTACAAGAACTCTTCCAATATATAGAAATTATTTAAAGAGCTTACTGGTAGAAAACAGATGACAACAGCTCGTTCGGATGTCTGCCCGTTATACAAGTCACTTATACGTCGGCAAGCTGATTTCACCCTTCCCAATGTCCAAAGTCAAATGAATAGCTGCTTTCCAGGTTTTAATTTACATGGTGTATTTAAATGTCTAAAATCCTTGACTCCCTCCCAAAGCTTAGGTTCTCATGGTATTTCTAGTGTTATTTTTAGAAAACGTGCACATATTTTATGTTACCCCTTTAGAGATATCTTCAATCCATTGTTTCCTGAAAACACAATACCCACTTCTTAGAAGGAGATAAAAATTGTACTTGTGCCTAAGTCATCTTCTGGATCAGCCCATCTCTAAAACTTCGCCTTTTCTGAAGTAAGTGGAGAAATTCCTTTTCCTTGTGATTGAGCCTCAATTGATGGTTTGCAGAGATCCAAATCAGTTTATTTACAAACACCGGAGGAGTACCATATATGCTGTTACTGTCTTGCATCATAATATTGTTTCTAGTTTCGACAAAGGTGTTAAGTATGTTCGTTGTGCCTTCTTGATTATTCATCAGCCTTTGACTCTGTTGCTAGGCCACTCCTGATAAATAAGCTTACCACAGCTGATACTGAGCCATGGGTTACAAAGTGGCTGTATTCTTATTTTTCTGAAAGGAAACAGTATACTGCCTATAAACGTAGGCGCTCCACTTCATTGTTTACAGAAGGTGGTATGCGTGAAGATGGTGTACTGTCTCGTTTTCTGTTCTCCTTCCTTTTGCACGATTTACCTCATTCTGTTGAAGCTAATTTGATTAAGTATGCTGATGACCTGACCGTGTCTATTCCAGTTAACTCTTGCTTAGATTGATCTGAATTAAATGGTTCCTTGTCTGTTATTGACCAATGGTCTCTGTGAAATGGTCTCGAGTTAAACCCCTCTAAATGTCGTACTGTTAATATTAATTAGCGTCAGGCGTAGACAAGACTTGTGTGAGCTGCCTGAATCTCATGACGCCTGTTGCATTGATGGTATTTCTGCAGGAGGCATATCGAGAGTAAACTATGGTGAGTTGGTTGAGTTATTTTGCTTCGGACCTTTGTTGTTCGTGTTGTATCTTGTTGACTTGTAAGAGAATCTTTTGTGTTTAAGATATTACATAAAGAAAGTGAGGCTGTGTTGGGATAAGTCAACTTCTTGTTTTACAATTTATTAATTCCTGCAATTTACCTATCCTTCTCCATTGTTCCCCATTGATCTTTCCTGGTCTGCTTGCTACCACTCAGAAAGGACTATGTTATGTAGTGTAGGGCTTTGAAAGTTGTGATTTGTGTGAGTGGTGTGTCTGTGGGGTAAGTGATTAACACTGTAGTTGATAGACATTTGAATTGCAGCATGGTAGTAGCTACATAAATTTTGAGTGAGACTGAGCATGCACTTCGTTCACAGGTGTGTGCATATATCTGGTCAGGGAGGATAAGGAGAAAACTAAGTGTAAGAATTCTACTGTACCTTATCGATGAGGCATACTTTGTGAGGGAAAAGGTGTTAGAAGAGAACTCACACATCGACTTTGTAAGAGTGAGAAATTCCATTTCAATAATTTAAGTAACAATGTAAAATGTTCTCGTTTTTAATATTCTTTACACTACTTAACTTTTTACAGTAACACAACTCGAAATATTGTGAAGGAGTATGTGTATACGTATATTTTGTTGTTGTTTTAATATATCATGCTGAGAATTCTGAATTGTACCACAACTTGTTTGGAATGAAATGAATTATTATTATTATTATTGTTACAAAATACTATTGTTAGGAAAAATACCATAATGAGCAATAAAATTTAACCTCAGTTAAAGTAAAGCCACAGGTAGTTATGTTTTAGACATCTCAGCTTCAAAAGGCTTCTGATATTTTGCATTTCGTTTTCATAACTAAAAACAGTGGTATTTACATTTGTTTCCACTTATAATTAATACTTACTAGGCGTTGGGTAAAGAATGTTTTTTTTAACTATCTTCAGTAATTTTACTTGCAGATTTCTGCGCAGTAAATATTGATTATTCGCCGTGAACCTGATACTATATATCATGGAATAATTACAGTATGCCTTGTAGAAATATACTGGATGGAGCTGACACAGAGGAATCCACTAAATATTATCCTCAAAATGTCGACACATATTATTATTTGTCCCTTGGGTTCCTAGTGGAACATAGGGATTCACTAGCACGTCTCCATTCTACTCTACTCTCGACAATCTTTACAACCTGACTCCACAACTGCCCACAAGCTCTCATTTCTTCCTCACACGATCTCCTCCATGTCACCATCACCTCAGACGCCCAACTCGTCGTTTCTCCAATGGGTTCCACTCAATGAACTGGCCTACTTTGTCATGACCCCGAATCGTCGGTCTTCTCAGTGCATGCTCAATCCATCTCTACTTCCCCATTCTGCATATCTGTTGAGTGATAGGTTCTTGCTTCGTTGGTTTGTTGCCAGCCAGAGTGAGATTCTTGTTGCTTATTCTTTCTGGCCATCTATCTGAGCTTCAGTAACGAGCCAGTGTAGGTGGCAGTTGTTGATGAATATCTATAGTTTATTGGAAATGCTTTTCGTAACGCACCAAGTCTCTGAGCCATACAGGAGCACTGACTTGACGTTGGTGTTCAAAATCCGAATCTTGTTCCACATGTTGACTGTAGAAGATCTCCATACTGGTTTCAGGTTAATGAAAGCCTGTCTTGCTTTTCCGATTCTGACTGTCATCCTTGTCTGTGCCGCCTGTAGTGGAAACAGTGCTTCCTAGATAGGTGATAGAGGCTACTTCGTTTAAGTTTCTCCCTTTGATGATGATTGGAGTTTGTTGTGGTTGGTGCTGTTTGTTACATTGGGTATCCTCATCACCTCTGCTTCTCTATATTCACGCCTCTTCTGCCAGCTTGTTAGTTTTCGCCTGTAGAACTTCAATTTTGTGCCACATTCGACGCAAGTCATCGGCGAAATCCAAATCTTCTTCTGGGATCTTTTCACCGGTCAAGCGGCGTATACCCCTCTTCTTGCTCTTCACGGTTTTTTGCATGATCCAGTTCACTACAATCAGGAATATCATGGGTGATAGTAGACAGCTTTGTTTTACTCCTGTCTTCACTTCAAACGCATCACTGAGCTGAGCTTCCCATTGTGAATTACTTGGCTCTTTACGCAATACTTAGTTTAAATCTAATGATTTTTTAAAGTCATCAGTTTAATTCATTTATGAGTTACAGGCAGCCTTGTGTATTCACTGTCTAATGATTTAATGACAACATTATGATATCACAGTTTTGAAATAATATGAAGAGATGAGTAGTGTTTTTTTTTAAAAATCATATTCATCAAATCAACTATTGATTATCATTTTGACTATTTGAGATAGCCGTGTTTTGACAGACTAGTATTTATACTAGGTGATAATTGAAGGTGAGATGAAAATCTGGACCACAGTCGGATTCGAACCAGCGACCAGAGTGTTTCCGGCCCGGTAGTAACGCATCATGAATTCATATGGTAGTCGGGCAAAATCCTCGGTAGTTGAAGCGAAATAAAATTCTGGCTAGCAGTCGGACCTTGTAGCTCAGTCAATAGAGCACCGGGCCCGAAACCCGGTGGTCGCTTGTTTGAATCCGGCCACTGTCCAGATTTGCATATCACCTTTAATCACCACCTAATATAAATCAACTATTCCAATTTATCTGATAATTATGGTTGAGAAAGACAAAAGTACTCATCTATTTAAACTCAAGTTGACTGTAGCTTTCACTTGAAGTTATAGGGAAAATTATTATAAAGAAGTATTATCATTTATCTATCATCATTGAACAGAGTATAGAATGGCAGTCAAATCTCTCTCTACCTCAACTTCATCGACTTTGAAAAGGCCTTTGAGAGCGTCGACCGAGAAGTAATTTGGCAACTGCCCCAACACTACGGAATACCACAAAATCTTATCAACCCCATTCAGCAACTATGTGACGACGCCACATACCGGATGATCCACAATGGAAAGCTCATTGACACGTTTGAAGTGAAGACAGGAGTAAAACAAAGCTGTCTACTATCACCCATGATATTCTTGATTGTGGTCGACTGGATCATGCAGCAGACAACTGTGAGGAGCGAGAAGAGGGGTATACGCTGTTTGGCCGGGGAAAAGATCCCAGAAGATTTGGATTTCGCCGATGACTTGTGTCTAATGTGTTGTCGAACAAACTCGAAGATCTACGGGCGAAAACTAACAAGTTGACAGAAGAGGCAGGGTAGCGAAGATGAAACTTCAAGTGAACGTAGAGAAACGGAGGTGATGAAGATACCCATCCAACGCAACCAACAACAGCAAGCACCAGTTACTATGACCGGAAGAAACATCAAGGAAGTTGTCTCTTTCACCTATCTAGGCAGCGTCGTTTCAACTACAAGCGGTACAGGCACAGATGAGGGCGTGAAAGTCAGTATTGGAAAGACAGCAAGACAGGCTTTCATTAATCTGAAACCAGTGTAGAGATCTACTGCACTCAGCACAAAGCATGAAGAAGATCCGGAATTTTAATACCAATGTTAAGTCAGTGCTTCTATTTGGTTCAGAAACTTGGCGCGTCACGAAAAGGATTCCCAACAAACTACAGACATACATCAAGCAACAGGTGCCTACGCTCGTTACTGAAGCTCAGATAGATTGCCAAAAAAGGACAAGCAACAATGAACTCTGGGAACGAACCAACCAGGGACCTATTACCCAACAAATATGCAGAAGGGATGTCCTCATTCGGGGACATCACGTGCCAGGCCATTGAGTAGAGTCCAAAGGGGAAACGACGAGTTGGGCGTCTGAACGTCTGAGGGTGATATGGAAGAGTTCATGTGAGGAAGAAATGAAGCTTTTAGGCAGTCGTGGTGCCAGGTCGAAAAGATTGTAGAGAAGAGAGTGAAATGGCAACCTAACACAGAATCCCTAAGGGAAAATAATAATAATTATTATTATCATTTATCTATTTTTATATTTTGCTCGTTTTGTGACACAGGTGACAATTGATAATTTAACACTATGTATCTGTAAAATATTTGTTTTACATACTTCGTTTTTCATTCTCTGATGCTTAATTGTTTTAGCAAATTTTAATAAAATATTTTTGCTACTTTCATATTAAATAGGCTTAATAAACATTAAGTAAGATACAATTGTTCCGTTACAAAAAAAGCTACTATTAAAAGAAAGAAACATTAAAATTTATTTTTTTTTCTTTTTTTTTCACAACATTAGAAAATGTGTATAAAATAATCTTTGTATTACTTTTGAAATATGCATCATACCTTCAGTGTTAATTTAATTATTTTACCTTTTAAGACAAACATAATAAACAATAAAATAGATAATTGATTTATTCGTGACTTTTTCATTTGGTTTCCATATGATTGTTTCATTTCAATGTATCTATCTAAAATTTTAATCCATTTTGTTACTTGTATTTTATTAAAAATTTGTTTATCAAAATATTTTAAAAAATTTATTAGTAGCCAAATTAGATGAGTACAATCACTTGCTTTCAAAAATAATACTTTTCCTTCTTGTGTACTAAATGTTTGAAATGTTTCATTCAACTTTTTTAAAGTATCATTTATAAATTCATTAATAAATTGTATTATTACACAATGATATGATGTATTCAAGTAAACATTTAATATATAGGATAAAGTTTGAATTAATTGAATTATTGTTGAACGCCATAAATTAATATCTTCTTCTACATGAACAATATCTGATATAATAAAATATTTTAAAATCATAAAACATTGTATAGTTTCATATGGTTTTTCTTTCAAATATATCATTGTCTTATTTAACCAAAGATGAAATAAAATTTGTACATCTTCTTTAATATTTATATAAGTGTTCATTTTCTTTGAACAAATTAAACCATTTTTACTGCTTTCTTTAAAAGCATGTATAAGTATATTAGTAGAAAAAAAGAATATCTCTCTTAAACTATATCTTATTTGATGAACAATTTGATTGGTTGGGATTATTGAAATATTTTCCAGGTTAAATTTAATCATTTTCAATCGATAAGAATTATGATGAATATAGTCATAAATTTCTATATTTAAATATTCAGAAGTGAAATTTTTTTTGCAAAAATTACCTTACCTTTTATTTCACTATTATTTATAACATTGATTTCATTATCTGAATTTCGATAACTTTGTCTTTCATAAATAAAATAAAAGTTCATCAATAATTCTTTCTCCTTTTCTCTTTTTTGATACTGATTCTGTAGAAATTTTACAAAGTTATAACATGATACATTCTTTGGTGTCTGTTTCACTATATATATTGCAACCGATGTTTTTGCTACCATCAATGATATATTTGCCAAAAAGTTATTCATATCTGCACTGCTTTTCATATGTTTCATCTGTAATATGAAATTTTTTTTAATATTTTAAATCTAACTCAGTTCAGAATCATAATCACTGTTTCAAGTTGTTATTCATCGTAGACTGACATCAGTTAGAGGAACAAAGGAAACCTGGAAGCACTGGACAGCTGTCCCATCCTAGTATGGGACTCCTCAACAGTGTGCACCCACGACCCCGCCAGGGGTCGGACCCGCGACCTTCATGTTCCACGCCCAGGGCGTTACCATTGGGCCACTGGGTCAGAATCCAATGGTCCATGATTCCAACTTCTGTTAGCTCACGATATGGCGCAACCGCCACCCAATGTCATCTTTGAGTATCTGTCCTCATGACCATCAGGCTTTGACTCCACCGGTCACGACTGGTGCTCATTGGTGACTAGCTTCGAGAAGTATTCCCGAAGTTCCAATGGGAAGTCGTGACCGGTGGAGTCAAAGCCTGATGGCAGTGAGGACAGATACTCAACGATGACATTGGGTGGCGGTTGTGCCATATAGTGAGCTAACAGAAGTTGCAAATATGGAGCATTGGATTCTGACCCCGTGGCCCAATGGTAATGCCCTGGGTGTGGAACCTGAAGGTCGCGGGTCCGATCCCTGGCGGGGTCATGGGTGCACACTGTTGAGGAGTCCCATACTAGGATGGGACAGCTGTCCAGTGCTTCCAGGTTTCCTTTGTTCATCTAACTGATGTCAGTCTACAATGAATAAAAACTTGAAATATTTCCAAACTTCGACAACTCCCTCAAAAATAATTATTGTTTATTCGAAACCCATCAACTCTGAATTCTAGTTTAAACTACAGAATTTACTTCACTCAAAAAATGCATAAAAATAGTCATATGATATATTATGGTAATCACTCTCTCTCATATGTTATACTAGCGTTTTTCTTTTGAAAACAATACAACAACTTTGACTGATATGAAAACTGAGTATTTCTGTACAAATGACCAGTCTTCACATTTCAGATGGTTATGACAAATACGCACTCTTCAATCTAGCGTAGAGTTGAAATTGTTGTATGATGTTTAGGATGGTTATGAAACTACATGAATGTAACTATTATAACAGCATAATTAAAACCTAGTAAGAAACTTTTACAGCGAAAAACTATAATTCGTGGCGTAAACTACCATCTTGACAACAGTGAAGTGACCTAAGATAAGTATTTTACAATTGTTCTCTGTAAAGTAATATGTGTTTCCTTTCTAAAATAGTGTTCTCAGTAGGTGATACAATCCACTGTAGACGGTTTATTGATTTCAAATCGGTATTCATCACGGACTTACATCAGTTGGAGAAACATTGGAGACCTGGCAGCTGTTTCGTCCTAGTATGGGACTCCTCAGCAGTGAGCATCCACGACCTTGCCAGGGGTCGAACCCGCGATCTTCATTTTCCGTGCCCGGCACGTTACCATAGAGCTACTAGGTTGGGATTTAGTGGTCCATATTTTTGACTTCTATCAGTTCACGATATAGCATGACCATCACCCTATGTCATCTTTGAGTATTTTTGCTGTCTTCCTCCCGGTTTGCCACACCGGTTATGACTTCTTATTAGAACTACAGGAACCACTTGTCAAAGCAATGACGCCAGTCCATGATGAATACTAACTAGAAAATATAATGTCTGAGTTAAAAACATATAAATTATGCCTAAAACAACTCAATCAAATTTTCAGTTAGTTTAGGGATTACATCAGTTTGAAAGTCTCTCATATGGAGGTCTTCAAATGGTGTAACTTAATTTTTATTGGGATACACAACAAGAGTACTGATGGTCATTTTTTTTAAGCATATGGATAGGAGAAGGAAACTCTAACGACGAAGTGACTAAATAATTCTTTAGATATCCACTTATTTCAGGCAAATTCTTTCAATAACATAAAATCTAAGCGCTGTGGTAGGATGTTGTTTCGCATTAGGTTTGTTTATTTAATATTACACACAGTGGTACAGGATTATCACGAACTCTTTAATCTGTCACAATCTACATGTTAAGTATATCCCAGAAACTGAAATTTATACGGTGAAATGGTGAGATCATGAAAACAACTAGTCAGGTATACATCCATACTGTTATATTGTCCACAATGATTGTTCAGATTCTTAAACCTTAAATCTCTAGAAAACATTTAGAACCAACAGTCGCACACCCAATATTTACGAAAAGCCATATAATCATATACCGGTCACACTGGATCATATGACCAGATTGACAGGAATTCCCAGTCCAGAAAGTGTATAAGTACCTCGTAATATATCTGCTGTTGTTTTACTTACTGCCTTTTCTACTTCCAGTGATTTCATGAAACATCCATTTCGGAACCTGTGGGTTATTGTTCGAGTGTTCACAGAGATATATCGGATTTTATGACATATCTTTTGCAGAAATAAGATCCGTACTAGTAGTCTACAAGTACAATTTTTTTCAAAAGGATATTTATGATATACTCACAATAAAAAGGTTTCAAGACATCTTCAACTGTTTATTTTCAGTCCATAAGACATTAGAGTTTCATTGCATATTCATCTTTTTTAACTAAAACATGCTATGGAAAGTGACTTCATTTCCTGAAGTTATTAACATCTGTTTTGCGATAAACCTGAAAGTTATCATTTTGCAGTAGAATACTTGAGGTAATAATTTTGTGTGTCATGTCAAAATAGTAGGTCCTACGTCATTACTTCCAATGATGTCTACAGCATTCAATTATACAATGGATAAACTTAAAAAATGGAATTACGAACATAGAAAGCAGTGTAAAACTACTGACAGAGACACTGAAAATAAGAAATCAAGCGTAAAGGCATTGCCATCCTTCAGATCATTAAATGAAGTTATAGTTCATTAGATAAAAACAAAATGTTTTAAAAAGTAGATACAATGAATAAATATGCATGATGTTGTTTTTAACATGAAGATAAGGTGTCATTCAACTACTGTCGTTGACCGGAAACTATATTCTTTAGGATTTTCACTTATCTGTCTCAATTATTATGTAAACTTCAACCAATAAGCTTATAAGGCTGAAAATAGCAATCAGAAATTTTATCTATCATACCGTAAACCGGTACAGACCTGTCATGCATCATGATATTGTTTCTGGTCTTGACAAAGGTGTTAAGTATGTTCGTTGTGCCTTCTTGATTATTCATCAGCCTTTGACTCTGTTGCTAGGCCACTCCTGGTAAATAAGCTTACCACAGCTGATACTGAGCCATGGGTTACAAAGTGGCTGTATTCTTATTTTTCTGAAAGGAAACAGTATACTGCCTATAAACGTAGGCGCTCCACTTCATTGTTTACGGAAGCTGGTATGCGTGAAGATGGTGTACTGTCTCGTTTTCTGTTCTCCTTCCTTTTGCACGATTTACCTCATTCTGTTGAAACTAATTTGATTAAGTGTGCTGATGACCTGACCGTGTCTATTCCAGTTAACTCTTGCTTAGATTGATCTGAATTAAATGGTTCCTTGTGTGTTATTGACCAATGGTCTCTGTGAAATGGTCTCGAGTTAAGTCCCTCCAAATGTCGTACTGTTAATATTAATTAGCGTCAGGCGTAGACAAGACTTGTGTGAGCTGCCTGAATCTCATGACGCCTGTTGCATTGATGGTATTTCTGCAGGAGGCATATCTAGAGTAAACTATGGTGAGTTGGTTGAGTTATTTTGCTTCAGACCTTTGTTGTTCGTGTTGTATCTTGTTGACTTGTAAGAGGATCTTTTGTGTTTAAGATATTACATAAAGAAAGTGAGGCTGTGTTGGGATAAGTCAACTTCTTGTTTTACGATTTATTAATTCCTGCAATTTACCTATCCTTCTCCATTGTTCCCCATTGGTCTTTCCTGGTCTGCTTGCTACCACTCAGAAAGGACTATGTTATGTTGTGTGTATGGCATTGGAAGTTGTGAGTAGGGTGAGTGGTGTGTCTGTGGGGTAAGTGATTAACACTGTAGTTGATAGACATTTGAATTGCAGCATGGTAGTAGCTACATAAATTTTGAGTGAGACTGAGCATGCACTTCGTTCACAGGTGTGTGCATATATCTGGTCAGGGAGGATAAGGAGAAAACTAAGTGTAAGAATTCTACTGTACCTTATTGAGGAGGCATATTTTGTGAGGGGAAAGGTGTTAGAAGAGAACTCACACATCGACTTTGTAAGAGTGAGAAATTCCATTACAATAATTTAAGTAACAATGTAAAGTGTTCTCGTTTTTAATATTCTTTACATTACTCAACTTTTCACAGTAACACAACTCGAAATATTGTGAAGGAGTATGTGTATACGTATATTTTGTTGTTGTTTTAATATATCATGTTGAGAATTCTGAATTGTACCACAACTTGTTTGGAATGAAATGAATTATTATTATTATCATTATTATTATTATTATTATTATTATTATTAGTAGTAGTAGTAGTAGTAGTAGTAGTAGTAGTAGTAGTAGTAGTAGTAGTAATAGTAGTAGTAGTAGTAGTAGTATTGGGAAATATTATACGCATATTGATTCGTTATACGTATGGGAAAAGCTGAAACACATTCGTGTTAAAGGCAACTGAGTGTGGACAAAGCAGAATGTAAGCTCAATTTGTGATATTAATAGTTTGAGTTTTGTAGAGAAGTATGGGTGACTGCACTAGGATTTACGAAGCTTTAATTCATTTTTGTCCTGAGTGGTATCACTCAAAAAATACATCGTCAGATTCATTAATGTCTCATAAGTTTCAATTTTCTTGGTTTATTTTATCCCAAATCCTTGTTTACTTTAGCACCTCACTAATTCCATTGACATGAATCCGTTATTTTATATTGTTCCAGCCTCAAATGATGCACCGATATGTTCAATTCTACTTACATTTGTTTTTCCAGCTTTCTATCATACAGTCTGATCAAAAACGAATTTCCAAGGTGATCAGGTTATCATTCATAATATGTTCATTCAGTTGTTCGACAAGTGTTTTTCTGTAACTTACTCCAAAACAG